TCTTCAGCAGCATTTTCATATTTTTTTTTTTTTTAATTTTTTAATTTTCAATTAATTTTAAAGCATAGCAAAATTTAATTTAAATTAAATTTTTAAAGAACTTCGGTTATTACCGACTGCATAATACTCGCTCACTGCTTAAAATTCATTCAAATAATACTTAAAAAATTATTATTTAGCAAATGTAAACTTAAGCTCCCAAACTTGTCTATAGTTAAAGTTTCGGATAGATAAGCTATGTATATAAATTTTTAGCTTGGAGTTTCTACTCTAGAATTCAAGAATTTTTTTCTAGAAATTAATAGTACGAATAATTTTATAATAGTATTTGTGCTATACCAAGAAGAATCTGGAAAGTCTAAGCACTTCATAGCAAGTATATATCCTTAAAAATCCAAATATCAAAATAAATAGTGTAGAAAACCAATATACTCTACTCATTCTGTGAATGAGTATACACATAACTAGATACATGTATTTATGATATATATATTTCCTCATTCATGCTCAACATCAATTTAATTTCCTTCATATTTTATGCTGTTAACTTCCTCAACAAATTCTTAAGTAATTAATTTAAAATAATTTGATCATTAAATTGTCAATTAAGCATAGACACTTACTTTTTTTATAAATAATTTATAGACCTGATTGATTGTTTGTTTGATTGATGAGTTGATTGTTGAATAATAATGCAAAATTAAATATATTTATTTATATGTATATATTTTAATGCATTTATTGAAACATAAAGATTTATGTCCTGATATTTGTTGTTGATGAATACTTGAGTTGAGTTTTCTATATATATTCATATATTTATATATAAACTGTTATAATTAGTTATTTATATAATATGTATGTTTATACGAGTATTGTGTTATATAATTAAGACAATTAGTCAGCGCTTAATAACATTTCTTAATTAAATTCATTCACTTTTTGCTTGATTTTTCTCCAAAAATATATTTATATTTATGTATATAAGTTGTACAGGTGTATATTAATAATATATTTATAATTAATATATATGTAGATGTTTTGCACATGAAACACAACGCGTTAGTTGCTTGTTAATTAGTATTATTTATTTTAATAAATTTATATTTTTTTAGTAATTTTTCACCTGAGCATTAATTTTATTCATATTTCTGTTGTCGAACTTCTTTATGTTTATATTTTATTGTAGTATCGTTATGGGGTTATAAACACCTTTATAAAAATATATTTATATGCATATATGTTTTATGAACTCTGAAAGAGTTTTATCTGAGCTTCCTTTGCTTTCTAGCCGAAGGTCAAACACTTTAGTGAGAGCGAGCGAGAGCGGCGAAGTTAGATTGAGATGATTATGTCACTATTTATTAAAAATTATTTTTTTGTTGTATTTTGGAATTTATTTTTGTATTGTATTTCTCCTTTTGTTGAGCGCTTGGCGTATCCTTATTGTATTTAGCACTTATATTGAACATTTGCACTGCGCACCTGGCGAATAATTCACGCATTTATTTAACAGGTAAAGCTTATTAAAACACATTGCTATTGGCCAGATATATTAGATTATTTTTTGCAGAAATTTTACTGCAGCTGTTTCCCAGCCCAGCATATTATTATGATTTATATATCTATATTTATTATTATATTTTTTTTAGTTTGCAGCAACAGCTGGGCGCAGCTGAAGCTTTGTGTAGGGGGCGTGGCTGTATGTGGGTTCAATATGTGAAAAGTGAATATTTGTGAAAATTCAATAGGATGACACTGGGCTCTGCCTGTGGCACTGACACTGACATTGAGGGTCCAGGCAACGCGTTCAAGAGCAAGGTGAGAAGTGGCAACCGCTACGAGGACGTGGGCGAGGACGACGACGAGGACGAGGACAAGCACGAGGACTTGAACTGGCAACAGCCAACAGCTGTTCGGGCTGGATTGCTGCTGCTCCTGCTGCTGCTGCGRCCGTTTGGGCGCTGCACAAGGACAAGGACACAGCGCGCGACGCGGACACGGACACGGCCACGGACACACGATTCAATGTTAACCAACTTGCAACACACAGCTTGAGTTGTATTCAAATTATGAACTCGAATTTTTCATAATTATTGTTGTATTATATTGAAGCCTTTTGGTACGGCCTGCAATTTGTTGCACATTTTTGTTGTTGTTTGCTTTTTAAGCAGAAATTAATCAAATTGAATATTTAATTAGCGACGGCGATTTTTAGGCTGTTTTGAATATGCTTGATTGATGGACGCGCTTTTTAGAACCGCGACCGCTGCAAGCGCCGTACTTTCTCTGACTGAAATTGAAAATCGCACAAAAGCTTGCAGCACGAGAGCAGAACCGAACATCACTGTGAGAGAGAGTGAGAGCAGAGAACAGAACCGAACAAAACAGAACATACGAATGAGCAAGCGAGAGTGAGAGGCGCAGCAATACAAAAACCTGCTGAGCGAGCAAGTGTCCGTATCCGTGTGTGTGTGCGAGAGAGCTTATATGTGTGAGTGGGCGAATAAGCTGCACAATGAAAGTGAAAACCGTTCGTTGCGACTATCGTTGTGTGCGTGCGTCGCCTGGCTGCAAAGTGGGCACGTCTGACAGAGCGCGAGGAAGCCCCGCTAACCGACTGGCATGAGCGAGAGAGAGATAGAGAGGAAGTAAGTGACTGCGAGTGTGTGTGTGAGAGAGCGTGAGCTTGCGCTAAGCAAACGAGGAAGCAAAGCCAAAAATTCTGTAAAGAATACAAAAGCAAAACATAAATAAACAAAAATAAACGCGAATGAGCGGACGAACAGCAAACAACGCACAAACCAAGTTTCGTTTCGTTTTTTTTTTTGGGGGGTTAACAAATTGTGGCATGAGGCGGGTCGACGAGAATTTTAATGGAGTTGCCACCCAGTTGGGGTGGCATAAGAATAAATGAATAATGAATAAGGGTAGTTCTTTGTGTTTGTGTGTGAGTATGTATTCGAGACGAAGTTTGAGTGGGTAGCAACTTCCGCCCACAACAAGAACAACAACAAGCAAAGCTGTGCGTATGAGCAATGTGCGTTAGCAAAAGACTTTACGGACAGACGGAGTCACGCATTGAGGTAGGTTCGCATATGAGCGACTTAAGGGAAGTTGAATGTGGCAGCGTAAGCACATTTTATTACGTTTTTTATTGTACTCTGAGAGTGTCGATTCATTCACCTAACCGAGGCACGTTTACAAAGCAGATGCATTCGCATTAGTCGATTCATAAATTATACAAAAACAACTTACGGTTTTCTTCCGTAAACGTCAAAGCGTCAGAGTCACAATTTGACCCCAAACACGCAAAAAACAAACGCAGCGACAAATGAGCAATAAATACTTTCACACACAGGCACGAGTGTATAAACAAGCGCCAGTGACAAATTTCAATAGCAAAGCAATCAGCAGTCTCATTGCAGGCACACACACAAACGCACACATTCACGGTGCAAGCAAACATGCCAGTATGCATGTGTTTGAATGTGTGTGTGTGCGTGTGCATATTGCAAACACAACAAACGTATTGACCTTAACACTGAATGCTCATTGCGCTGACAACGCGCCGCTCCACATACACACATATCGCAAAGAATTTCGAAATAGAAACTCAATAGCAAGAGAGCGTAAAAGAGCGCAAACGAATGCAACTACTACGCGGAAAGAGTAAGAGAGAGGCACATCAAGCGAGCGAGCAGCAGCTAGCGCGTGTTTAGTCAAGTTCACCAATACCAAGGCAAGGTTAACAGCAGCTGTCGCTGTGTGTGTCAGTGGCGCACTTAACAGCGCGTCTACAGCGCCGCTACAGTTGAG